TTGCGACAACAATGCGACATCACGGAAAATCGCGACTGGAGCCTCAGACCTCGTTTTTTCTGCACCATCTCTTGAGTCGGATCGACCCGTGATGGTCCCGAGTCCCGAGGCTGGGCGAAAGCTCACAGTGTGAAACGACTGCGACGCCCAGATCGCAGGGTCGTCCGAGATCTGGGTCCTGGGCCGAACAATACTAGATGTGGTCGGAAGATCGCGCCGCACCGCCGAAGCATCGCCGATGCGGTTCGACGTGGATCCCGATGTTTTCCACGCCGACGGCGCCGATGCATCGCCGACGTCGCCGACGCAACGCCGATGCATCTGAGGTGCATTGGCGATACGGCGCCATCCTCCGACCCCGGCAACCAGAGCCCCTGACCCCATCTTTCTGCGCCATTTTTGGGGCCGGATCGATCTGCCAGGGTCCCGACCCCCGAAACCCGGCGACAACGCCAAGACATGTTGCGTTCTGATTTTCACCTCCCGCCCTGATTGTGCCACGACGCGAACATGTCTGGGTCGGGGATCGCTCAAGGGGCCCCTGGCTCAAGGTGCCCCCAGCTTTCGGCTCAAATTTTCGAGCCCCTGGGACCCTCTGGGCCTCGTGAGGGGTGCTCTGGAGACGGGGGGGGGCCGTGGAAATCCTGGGAGCACCTTCGGCCAGACGCCCCCAGCCCGAGACGCCCCCAGACGGCCCCAGACGGCCCAAGAGGTCTCCATGAACGCTCCCCAGATGGGCGCAAGAGGCAAAAACAAGCAAGATTCCGTAGGCTTTTCTGTGTTTCGGAAGGTCTCGACTTTGCAAGTTTCCAGCGCTCAATAGGCCCCCAAGACCGCCCCGAAACGGCCCAAAAGGACACAGAAAAGGCCTTAAGACTGCCCTGGAGAACCCCAAGACGACCCTAGAGGCGCCCAAGGCGCCCCAAGTGAGCTCCGAGACGGCCCCAAGAACCCCCGGAATTTAATACAAATTCAACACAAACCGCTTTCTCGTCAAGGACGGCGGCGTGTCAAATTTGAGTTAAATTATTGGGGCTCTGGGGCCACCCTGGGAGCTCCCTTGGCGCACCTTTGGGCCTTCCCAGGTAATCCTCAAAAAACTCTCGTGGGGGCCTGTGGGAGTTTCAGGGAGCCCCAAGGGATTTCTGGAGGCCCTTGAGGCCCCACAGATATCCAGAGTTTGGAGGCCCCGGGAAAACAACGCACGCCCCAGAACGTGCAATCGTCCGTTCATATCCACAGACGACGGCGACGACCACCACCACCACCACGACCACTACGACGACCACCGCGACGATCATCGCGACGGCGGCTGCGGAGCCTGCGGCGGCGGCGCCCGCGGGGGCGGCGGCGGCGGCGACGGCCTGGCGGCCCAGAGTTTTTGGGGCCCTCCTCGGCCACCGTGGCAGTCACGGCACTTGCGCAATTTGAGAAACATTCGGAATCTCCCGACGCGTCGCACGTCGATCATCGCACGGCTCCGCGACCGCCCACCGAGCCCTAAGCCCCCCCCAGAAGGTCCAGCACCTCCACGCAAGGGAGGCCCTTGCCTGGGGAACATCTCCCTGGGTACTTTGGGTTTCGCGGATCATTGGAAGGTCTATTGACAACGCCTGCGCAGTCGGCTAAGTAGAACCTAGGTGCGCGCGTAGCGCGCGCGTGGTTCTAGTGTAAAGATGTATGTGCATACACATATATATATATAAATATGTTTATATACACACACATATATAACATATATGTATGTATGTATGTATGTATGTATGTATGTATGTATGTATGTATGTATGTATGTATGTATGTATGTATGTATGTAGGTAGGTAGGTAGGTAGGTAGGTAGGTAGGTAGGTAGGTATATATGTATGTATGTATATATATATATATATATAAATATGAATTACATTTGTTACATATATATATATATATATAGGGCCCGGGCCGGTGGCGTCATCCCTCATGGGCGCCCCCGTGAACCTTTGGGGGGTCACAGACCCCTTGGGACTGCCCCAGGCCGCTTCCAAATTGCCCACGACAAAGAGCGCCCCAAGAGGGCCCGAGATGGCTTCAGGATGGCCGAAGAGGGCCCCAAGAGGGCCTTCAAGAAGCAACAATATGCCCATTCCCCCGTAAAACGTACTTTTTTAGCATGCTCGCTGGCTTCGTCTTCACAGTGCCCCAGACGCACCCGCGGAGCCCCAACACAGCCCAAGAGAGACCCAAGAGGGACCCAGACGGCCCAAAAGGGTCGGCCTGTGGGGTTCGCAGAACCCCCCGACACGGCCCAAGACGCGCCAAAGCCAGCCCAGGAGGCCCAGGCCCCCAAGACGGCCTCGGGGAGGCCCAAGAAGGCCTCGTTCGACATCATGTTCCCGGAAGCCTTTCCGGGAACATGATTTCCGGTTTCCGAGGACGCCCAAGAGTCCCACAAGACAGCCTCAGCGAGGCCCAAGAGGGCCCGAGATGGCTTGAAGATGGCCGAAGAGGGCCCCAAGAGGGCCTTCGAGAGGCACAAATCTGCCCATTCCCCCGGTAAAACGTACATTTTCAGCATACTCGCTTGCTTCGTCTTCACAGTGCCCCAGACGCCCCCTTGGAGCCCCAACACAGCCCAAGAGAGACCTAAGAGGGCCCAGGACGACCCGAAAGGGTCGTCCTGTGGGGCTCACGGAGCCCTCCAAGACGGTCCAACAGGCCCCGAAGCTGGCCCAGGAGGCCCCCAAGACGGCCTCAGGGAGGCCCAAGAGAGCCTTGTTCGACGTCATGTTCCCCGAAGCCTCCCCGGGAACATGACTTCTGGCCTCCCAGGGCGCCCAAGACGCCCACAAGACAGCCTCAACGAGGCCCAAGAGAGCCCGAGATGGCTTGAAGATGGCCGAAGAGGGCCCCAAGAGGGCCTTCAAAAGGCAAACATCTGCCCATTCCCATGGTGAAACGTACATTTTCAGCATACTCACTTGTTTCGTCCTCAGAGTGCCCCAGACGCCCCCGCGGTCCCCCAAGACAGTCTAAGAGAGACCCATGAGGGCCCAAGACGGCCCAAAAAGATCGCCCCGTGGGGCTCACGGAACACCCCAAGAAGGACCAAGAGGCCCCGAAGCCGGCCCAGGTGGCCCCCAGACGGCCTCAGGGAAGCCCAAGAGGGCTTCGTTCGAAATCATGTTCCTGGAATCCTCTCCGGGAGCATGATTTCCGGGTTCCGAGGACGCCCAAGAGGCCCACAAGACAGCTTCAGCGAGGCTTGAAGATGGCCGAAAAGGGCCCCAAGAGCGCCTTCAAGAAGCAGAAATCGGCCCGTTCCGTTAATAAAACCATCAAACTCGCTTGCTTCGTCTTCACAGTGCCCCAGACGCCCCCTTGGAGCCCCAACACAGCCCAAGAGAGACCTAAGAGGGCCCAAAACGGCCCAAAAGGGTCGTCCTGTGGAACTCACGGAACCTCCCGAGACGGCCCAAGAGGCCCCAAAGCCGGCCCAGGAGGCCCCCAAGACGGCCTCCAGGAGGCCCAAGAGGGCCTCGTTCGACATCATGTTCCCGGAAGCCTCTCCGGGAACATGATTTCCGGTTTCCGAGGACGCCCAAACAGCCCCCAGAGGCCCCGAATACGCTGAAGATGGCCTCAGGACGGCCGACGACGCCGCCAAAACGTCCCAAGAGCGCCTCCAGAGGCCTCTCCAAAGGGCCCCAGAAGCCGAAACTTAGATTTTTGTTAAATGGTTTCTGAAGCATTATTGCGCTGTCCCATGTTCCGCCTCCCCACGGTCCCAGACCGCGGCAGAGGCCTTTCAGATCGCTCCAAGACGGTCGAAGAGGCTCTCAAGAAAGCCCAGAGACGGCCCAGGAGGCTCCCCAGATAATTCAAGAGGGCCTCGAGAGCGCCCCAAGAGAGCTCCAAGAGCGACCCAAAGGGCCCGAAGAGTCCGAAGAGCGCGACATTTCAATGTCTCTGGCCTCAGAGGCTCCTAGGACGCCCCCGGAGGCCATCAAGAGGCTCCCAAGAAGCCCCGTGAGGCTCCCAAGAGGCCCCCGGAAGCCCCAATAGGCCCCCAAGGGGCCTCGAAGCCCCCTGCGGGCCCCCAACACACTTCGGTAAATCGCATTTCCCAGATAGCTTTCCGGGAACATGATTCCTTGGGCTTCCGCCCACCGCCCCAACCATGTTTCCAATAGGCTTGCCGACAAGGCCAGAAGGCGCCCCTCGGTAAGCCCCCAGAGGCCCCCCTCTTAGAGAGCCGAACAAATCATGCTCCCGGAAAGCTTCACGGGAACATGATTCTCTTTCTCGGAGTAGGCCCGGGGGGGGGCCGGCCGTTGCTTGTTCCCCCCATCGGTGCCCACCGGGGGTTGCGGGGGGGGTGTCCAGAGCTCCCACGGCGGCCCGAGCCCGCCCCGAAGCAGGCCACGACAGGCTAAGGGGGTCCCGAGAGGGCCCAAGAGGGTCCCACGAGGCCCCGAAGACGCCAAAGATGCCCGCAAGGCAGCCGGCGAGGACTCCAGCGCCCTGCAGGACGGACTCAAGAGGCTCCCCAACAGGGCCCTGGGAGGCAAGATTCACTAATTTTCCGATGGTTTTCGAAGGATTTAGGCGTTCTCGCTTTCCCCGCTTCCCAGCGCTCCCTCTCGGCTTCGCTCGGAGGCCTTTCAGATCGCTCCAAGGCGGGCCACGAGACCCCGAAGAGGGCCCCAACACGGCCCAGGAGGCATCCGCAGCCTCCTCCTCTTCCTCCTCCGCGTCCAGTGTGCATCGCATGACGGGCATTTTGAGAAACATGGTGATCTTAGTCGCTCCAGCCGGCAGATAACACACAATTCGTCACAATGACAAAGGGGCGGGTGGGAAGTGTAGGATGCCAGATCTGGCGCGAGCGTGCGTACTTGCCTTGCCCTCAACCCCCTCTTCCCTCCCGCCTCCCTCGTCCTCCCTGGTCCCTCCCTCGTCCTCCCTCCTCCTCCCTCCTCGCTCCTCCTCCTCGCTCGTTATCCTCCTCCCCGCTCTCTCTCGCCCTCCTTCCCCGCTTGCTCTGGCTGGGGCGCTGCGCGCGACATCCGTGCTCGCTTCGGCCCTCGCCTGGCCAGACTCTGCGGAGCTGGCTACTGCCACGTCGAACAAGAAAAAAAAGGACAGCGGGCGTGGAACCCTCACCGCTCAGAGCTTCCAAATGTCCAGGCCGACGTGGGCCATCGCCATGGAGAACATGCCAGGGACGATCGGAATTATGCAACCTGAAGGGGGGGGACGAAGTCCTGCCACCACGCTCCAACACCTCTGCTTCCGCAAAAAACACACACACAAACATGGCTGGCCAAACAAGCGCATCGCGATATGTTGACGGGTGATGCGTAGGCCCGACGATGACGACGAAAACAACGACGACGACGAGGACGAGGGCAAGGACGAGAACGAGGACGAAGACAAGGGCGAGGACGACGACGACGACGGCGACGCACTGACGACGACGACGACGAAAACGACGACGACGACGAGGACGACAACGACGACGACGAAAACGACGAAAACGACGGACGACGATGACGACGACGACGACGACGACGACGAGGAGGACAACGACGACGACGAGGACGACGACCACCACGACGACGACGATGACGACGAAGACGACGAGACGACGTCAACAACGCGACGACGACGCCGACGACGACGACGTATTGCTGATATCCCATGGGGGGAGAGGTGTGTGCTGCGTGGGCGCGGCCCGCTGTAGTCAACGACGACGACGACGACGGCGACAAGACAAGACAAGCAACCATGCAGCCACTGCATTCCATCCAACACCATGGCCTGGAACTCTGGGCACGCTGCTACACAGCCGACAGCATATATTATGAAACGCAGATGCGGCCACGCTCTGCTCAGGGCAGCACTGGCCCTGGCTGGGGCCCCCCCTAGGGCACGCAACCCCAGATAGGGGTCCCAGCTCTTCAGGCGCCAGGCCTGCCATGACCTTTCCTCCCCCGACCATGTACATAATAGCCTCTGTCAGGACCTGGTCATCCTCATAAGACTCGGGCAAGGTAAACAAAGACCGTTCCACGATAATCCATTGAAGGTCGTCGTGGTCCGACTCCTGGTCCTCGCATCCGTCATCATGCGAGGAACGCATGCCATGGATACGATGGCCACCCCTGCCAGAAGGTAGTTCACGCACCAGGTCAAGGTCGTATGATCCCTCTGTACAGTGCTCAACCGCATCCCAAGCAGCGTCGTTGAGCTTGGATTCTCTAAGAAGCATGTACTCTGCCAAGTCCTCTGGCAAAGTCATGTCCGTCTCGAATTCTCGAAAGAGCACGCACTTGCGTTCAATATAACTGACCAGGGCTCATCTCGCTTACGAATGACGTCGCCCGAATAGAAAAGCTTCTCCAAAGCCTTCGGCATTCTGCGGTCCTGGTTTTCGGCAAATGTCTTCTTAATTTGTTTAACCACATCCTGCTCGCCGTCTTCTGAAGACAGCTGTTCCTCGGTGGGTTCGTGACTGATGATCTTGAGGTCGTCTTTGGCATAGCGATACATGAGGTATCCGCGTTGTGCTGTCAGGGCTCTGGTAGTAGCGAGCCACGTCTGCGGATCCTTCATTAAAAAAGTCTAGACGAGCATCCTCTTGTCCATCCCAAGTGGGAGGTAGGTCATTTAGCATCTTTGTGGCTTCCGATGGTTCGGGACGTTGTCCCCTTTGGCGATCAGAAGATCTGGCACCGGTATCTCCCCAATAAAGCGGAGCATGAGGGGTAGAAGGCCTAGCCTGTCGTCGCCGAAGCGTGTTCTGCCGATCTGGTGCAGCCGGCGACCCACGTCCCCGCGCAGTCCAACCTGAGGAAGATAGTTGCGTTTTGGGCTGTGTCTCCGTCCAAGGCTATGAGAGCCAGCGGGCCCAGCCCTGATCTGACCAGCCCACACTGTCATCACCTTCCCAAGGAACGTCTTCTCGTTCTCCAGCTCCTGCCCAAGGATCCAGACCTGGCTGTAACCAAGGATCTGCTGGAAGTTCATCTTCTTGAAGCTGGGCGTCGTTCTGGTGAATCCATGGTGGCGGTCGGTGCAATACGCTAAGGAGCGGGGAGAACGGGATAAGAGTAAAGAGTGTGTCGCCTGAAGATCGAATGACACGGGAGTCGTCTTGACTCTACTCGTGGATCTCAACCACAGGCTCTGCTGCTACTGTGGATTGTACGGTTGACTGTATGGATACAAAAAAACACGATGTACACATTGGGGGTCCCGTGCTAGAAGAGAGTCTGCTCTCTATCCTTTTACGGAGGCGTGGGCGCGTCCGTCACCGGCGCGCCACGATAGCTCAAGGATCCTTGTGAGCTGATTTGGCGGCGCACAAGGGAGTACAGAGAGAGGCGCAGGAGAAGGAGAGGCTGACATGGGCCTGACATGAAACTTTGAAGACGAAAGTGCCTGGCGCTAGTATGAGTCATCCGTTGAAGTCAGCCCGCCCTATCTACTGATAACTACTTCATACGATGAAGAAGTGTATGCGCAGTGCAGATGCCCTGATGCCATGCACACAACTATCAAAACCACACGCGTTCAGCCCCTGTAGCTTCTGAAACTGCTGCAAGGACTAAGTGTGTGGCCAAGGCGGGCACTACACGTTGGAAACAACCAAGACTCAGCCCGCGCAGCTCTTGGAGGCCTCGAAGACGAATGCAGGAGACACTGAAGACGTGAATCACAGTTGGAGAACGCCTCGCCCGTCGATCCAAGTAATTCATACATTTCCAAGCTTCGAAAGTAATAGTGATAAAGAAATATCGGAAGAAACGCTCGGTCCGCCCTACCGACGCGTCTGGTGGTGCGGCGACGAGCTGTTTAGCAAGAACACGTCTGCGGGAAATAAAGAATAGGAGGGGGGACGGAAAGAAAGGACGTGGAGGTGGAGGGAGAACGGTGAAGAAGGGTGAGGAGGCCAACAACACGTATTGAAACATGCTTTCAATTGGGCTTTTCGGAAGACTCTCCAACACCTCTCCTCAGAAACCGTCAACACAGCTTCCTAGATGAGAGGGTTTTAAGTGTTTTTTTGTTGATGCTTCTCCAGCCCCCCCAAGACCCCCCCCAAACCCCTTCTTAAGGGGTGTTCTCACGGTTGTTTTTGAAATGGCTCGTTGCTCCCCTCCCGGGAACTCTCCCAAAACCAACTTTGAGAACGGCTTTTTTTAAAATGTTGTTGTGTTGGCACTTTGGCCTTCCCACGAACCCCCAGGACACTCCCCCTTGCTTGTGGTTTCCAACTTTTTCCTTGCGAGAGAAAGAGGATGACGGTGATGCTTAGCGGAATGAGGATAAAGAGATTGTGGGGGTAGGGGTAGGAAAGGAGGGGGAGGAATGAGAGAGGAGGGTGACGGGGAGGAGGACGAGGAGGAAGGGGTCGAGGAGGTCGACGACGAGTGCGACGCGGTAGTATTGTGGTGATGAGGACGAGAGGGATTGGCAAAGAAATCTGAACTGGGAGGCTGGCACCGAACACACTTGCAGGACCCATTCTGAATAATTGTTCGATTGGCTTGAGACCCATAAGCGGCCCCCTGAAATCGAAAGTGGAGAAAATATGCAGTCGATTATCGATCGTCGAGCGTTCCCGAACGATGACGACGACGAGAGCGATCGCAGATTGTCGCTCCGACAAAGGGGGTTGTCCACTGTATCACGGCGCCCATTAAAACGGGGGCCAGTGCACGACAAACGCTCAAAAGCCTCGACCAGCGATCCTCGAACCTCGAGGATCGATGGAAACGCCGACGTCGTCGCCGCGAAAGGTGCCTGTCCAGTTGATCACCCTGAGCAGCTTCGTTGGCACGTGCAACTCGATCATCTTGCCCTGGTCGCTGCCGTCCTTCGCAAGACGTAACCAGGGACGGCCACGTGTTCGACGAGGATGACGATGGGTTGTCGATGACGACGTTGACGAAGTCGCCTGTGGGGACCCTCGGAGGCCTTTGGAAGCCTATGGGGCTCTCCAAGGGGCTCCAGAGACCGCCTCTGGAGACCTCTGGGTTGGCGATGCCTCGCGCCGCGCACAGGGCAACTTCGCCGTCGTCGATGCAGCCGGCGCCTTCGCCTCGGAATCACCTGGACGTCTCTAAAAATCGTGGCGGCGCGCACAGCGGGATGGAGCGAGGGGAGAGTCTTCTTCGAAGCCTCTGGACGCTTCTGGGAAGATCGGTGCCTTCCAAAAAACGGCCCACTGCCATCTTAGAAGGTCCCCGCCTTAGCGGCACCCCCTTGTGCGCGCCGCCGAAAATCCTCGTCGCCACGAGTGGGTGCAGCCCAACAAAAAGCAATGACATAGCCCGCGAATGGCTGAGGCACCGCAGGGGCCGCCGCAGATAGCGACTCGTGCAGGCGCAGCCTGCAGCCCTCGCCGGGGGGGCGGGCGAAGATGACGAGAACGCGAAAGGCACTGGGGGGCGGGCCTCCGGGGCCGGCTACACGCACGAGTGACCCTGGGCAGGAGTGCCCTCTGGTGGGTGGCTCTACGGGGGCCACGGAGAAGCCAAACCCATACGCGCCAGCCATTGCTAGGGGGACACCTGTGGGCCTGCACAAGAGGTGACTCTGGCGAAGGGCCCCTCGCGCGCGCAGCCCCTCGTCGCCCCCGCGGGGGGAGCGGCGAAGACAACGAGAATGCTGAGAACGCTTGGGGGGGGGGAGGGTGCTCCTTAGGGCCCGGCACTCGTTGCCCCTGAGATCTGGGCCTCGGATTTTTTTTCAGACTCAGCGGCTTGCCCAGTGTTCGGCCCCTGGGGTCATCACAGATCGATCGCACTCAATCTCCTTCCTGCTGTGATGTTATACGAGCACGGTGGCGGGGCTTTCCGCAGGCAGCTGGATACTGAGGAGGGTGAATGGGCACGTGAAACCCAACGTTCGAGGAACATTAAGCGTTTGGAGCACCAGTGAGACATACTAATGCGTTCAGAGGCAGCCAGCTAATTGAAACAGAAGCCCCGCTCGCACTCCCAACGCCTATATGTACTCGCACTGGCACTCGCGTCCCACGTCTATGAAAACGTACTTGTACGCAGACCAACGTATACGTACACTTCGCGACCAATGCGCAACAGCCATCTCATGCCTACTCACTCTCGGTGCCAAGCGATTGAGCTCCACAACCATCGCGCGCAATCATTGCACGTATTTTTGGGTGCTGCCACAATGTATGGGCGGGGGCATGGGCTGATCTTCTGTGATGCGCTTCGCCGTCGGTCTGAAGTGCACGTGGCCCGCCCCAGAACCCCGAATCCAACAAACATTGCCTCTCTCGGTGGGTCCTCTTTTACTTCCGCTGGCCTTCCGTTGGCAAGGCCGCCCTCGTCGCGCTTCGGCCATCCTTCCGCCAACGACGAGATGACAACCCCGTCGACCCCTCGAGAGCGAAGCCCACTCTGGAGCATACCTGCGCCAGGCAGCGCCCCACGTGGAGCGCACAACTTGCGCGCCACCCCCCCTTCCCTCCGAGGCGGCATGTCCTGCCACCGCGCCCCCGCAGACCTCGGGCCGAGGCCTCCCAAAAAGTGGACCAGAGCAGATGGGGTCGGGGGACGCGTAGGGCTGGGCGTCAGGTTGGGCGTCGGACTGGCCGTGGGGCTGGGAATGGGGTGAACCGTAGGGCTGGGTGTCGGGTCGGAAGACAAGCTGGGCGTACGGCTGGGCGTCGGGCTGGCCATCAGGAAAGGCGTCGGGAAGGTCAAGCACTGCGTCGGGTATGGTGCCGTGTAAGGCGTCGGGGAGGCCGTCGGAGGATCGCGACGACGCATCGCCGATGCACGTGACGAGTCCGCGATGTTGGTGTAAAGGGCATCGGGTGCCAGATCGCGCCGCCCCGCCGACGCGTCGGTGGGGCGCGGCGTGGTCCTGCGACCCTATCCGCTCTGGTGGGAGGTCGGCGGAGGTCCCTGGTGAACGGCGGGCGTAATGAGCCGTTTCGCTGGACCCCACAGAAACTCACGAAAGCTGTGACCGTTGCGCTGTTGGCAGCACCTGGAGAGGGCGAGGGAGCGGAAGCGATGAGGCGGCGAAGCAGCGGAGGAAGCAAGGAGGATGGGAGGGGGCAGGAGGAGAGGAAAAAAAAACACCAACGCTCTATTCGGGCGGGACAAGACCAAAATAAATCGTTCCAGAGCGTTCCGGAACACCCTCAGAACGTTCTGAAGCTCTCGGGAACGGCCGCGGCGCCCGATACCTCTTCTAGAACTGCCGAATCTCAGAGATCAATCCCGATGCAATTCTGTCCTGGTCCTGGCTTCGTCTGGTCTGTTCAAAATGAGAACCCAACACAGTGAGGAGTGAATCGCAACTCGACCGCCCCCCGGAGCCTCATCCTCTCCTTCCCTCGCCTCACCTTCACCCTCCTCCTGCTTCTCCCCCGAGAGATCCCACATCCCATCCCTCATGAGATGGCGAGCTTACTCTTAGCAATTGTCTGGTTTCCGTGTGTCCTCGTCCTCGATCAACTCGTTGAGCGCACGGTAGACCTCCAAGATCGTATTGTCAATCGTAGATATGAAGTTCACTGCGCACGCGTTCAAGATGACATCTGCGACCGTCATCGAGGTGCACAGGAAGAGGGCGCCAACGAACAGCTGGACCAGAGGTACGACAAGGGCGTCGATGCAGAAAATCGTCCCGAAGACAAGCGTCTCGAAGCTCCAGCCCCTCATGAAGTGCCGCATCAACTCCCGCCCGCAAAGCTGGCGAGTTTGGCGCACGAGCGGGCTCTGCGCAGCCCGTGCGGAGAACACGAAGGAAAAAAACTCTCCCTCAAAGCTTGTGACGAGGCTGACCGGCTTTGGACGCCGCCGTCGGATCCCAAATGCACAAAGTTACTCTCATAGAGTTTTGTACGCTCCACATACATTGGGTTACAGAGGTTCCTTCCTGGTGTTGCACACACAAAGCTCCACGCCCCAAATCCCTCCCAAGAAACTCCAAGTGGACTCGAAAAGCTCTGGACCACGACCCCGACACGGTGGCTGGCGAGAGCGGCCGAATGCCACCATCCATTTGCTTCTCTGCTCAGTGTCAACTTTCGCATCGTATTTACGTTATAGTGCTACTTTACGTTCGTCTAATCCTTGCCTTCCTTTGCTCAACCGAGCTCAGATCGACCTAGCTTGGCGCAGACATGATTGCTTGCCTGGTCTTCATTTGGCCCCCGGGCGCTTGACTTCGATACAGTTTGCTTACGGTTCCGTAGCGTCGCTCAGCACACAGTGGCCTACCCAAATGTGGGCACGCTTGACCTGTGCGATTTGTGAACCTTCCCTGCTCAGCACAGCTTCGCGAACCCCTTCCAGCCCATTTTCGTTTCCTTCGGGAATGCGTTTATCATAGTTCCTTACTATCGCGAACTATTTCCACCACTCGACCTGCCCCTCACCACGATCTATGCCAACACTCCGCCCACTACACCTGTCCTGCCCAGCATTTAATCAACTTAGGCTTTGCGGCAACATGTGGATCATGCTCGGATGCCTCGTGATTACTTTTTGTTGGGTGCCAGCATATTTCCCCGTATGCAGGCCCACATTCCCTGTCAGGAACACATGACAGTGCACGTTTCGGCAAAACGTTGTGCGGGCGCCCAAGATCATCGTTGCAGTGTTATGTGACGTCGACGATGAAATGTGCCTGCATGTTGTGCGGTGTGTGCGGGCCCACATGCCTGTCAACACAAACTCAAACTGCTTGTGGGCGCATGCGTCATACATCATGTTGGCCACCCCGCCGCCACTTCGCATGTTCTTTTGGTAAAGATGGTGTGGGGTCGAGATGCTTCCCGATGCGTGCTGTCGTGTGTGCTGGCACACCTGGCGCACTCTGCGCGCGCCGCACACGTGGCGCACGTGGCGCGGGTGGCGCACGTGGCACACTTGGTGAATGAGGAGCCCGCGGCGCATCTGGCGCACCAGGCGCGCCTGCCACGTTTCTTTCCCTGGGGCTCTTTGGTGCGCGATTGTACGCAAAGAGCGCGCCTGGCATGCGCGGCGCATCTCGCTAGCGTCACGAATCAGCCATCCGTTTTTGGTTTGCACTGGCTGCCCATCCAATGGCGACCCCAGCCAATGCTGAAGCTCGGGTGCTACGTATGTGGTGGGGGGGACGGGTCGGAGTGAGCAAGACGGCCGTCCACCGGTGGTGCGAGGGGGTATCTTAACCCCTACGTCTACCCCCTCCACTGGGTCTGGACGGGGGGGGGCGGGCGGGGAGCGGCCAGAGCGTCCAAGATGGCCCAATATGGCTCCAGCTTAGTATGTTCTCCAACATGCCTCCCAGAAACAAGCACCTCACGTCGGCTTTAATGGCCTCGGCGCCGCCCAACGACGCCCCGAGAAAAGGCCTAACTCTTGGCCAAACCAGAAGAACGCTGCTGATTAATGCATTCTCGTCGTGTCGTTTCCGATGAGATTCTGATGCCTCAGAATGGATCCACGATTGCCGAAGAGAGCCCCAACAGGGGCCCAAGAGGGCTTCAATTTGGCCATAAGAGCGCCCCAAGATGGCCGCACGAATCAAATTTTCCAGCCAAGGAGTGGCAAGGCTAATATGGGACCCTCCTTCGCTCACCGCCGCGGCAATTGAACACGCAGTATGGTTTTGGAACGAGTTTGATACTTCGGGGCCAGCATCGGCCGGCTTTTGGGACACACATGGCTTCAGATAGCTCAAGATGCCCTCCTAGGTGGCGCAAGATGGTCTAAGATGGCTCAATACTTCTTCCAACGTGCCCCTGACAGGCCATAGGACCGCCCCAAAACGGTTCCAAAAGTGTCCGCAGAGCGTTCCATTGGGACCCCCGAGATTTCCAAATCACTCGAACGTCTCACGAGTATTTTTGCATTCTGGGATATTCGCGTCCACGGGGCCTACGAGGCCCTAAGGTGGCACCGCCATCGCCCAAGAGAGCCCAAAGATGGGGCTCCTAACATTCGCCAAACAGCCCCAATAGCGCCCAAGAGCGCCCCATAGCAACCGCAAGCACCAACACAACCACACACAAACACAAGCACGCACACAAGCACATACACAAGCACAAACACATGCACACAAGACGCACACAGGCAACCACACACACACACCAGATGCACAACGGCAAGATGCCTCTGTCCTGGCTGCTGGAAGAAGTCGTTGGAAAACAATGACACCCACCACCGGGGACGGCAGCTGGAGCTCGTCCAGGCGGGCAACGGTCCAGAAAGGCCACTCAATCCAGACTGGTTGTTCACCAGGGGCCGCGAAAGGCGGGTAGCGGGCGAACTGACGCATTCGGCTTGGCCAGAAAGGCCCCAAGAGACCCCCAAAAGTGCCTCAGCAACTCCTAGAAGTGCCCCGCGATAGCTCCAAGAGGCGTGGGCCTCTTTGTCTCGCTATATGCCTGCATCTTCCTTTTCCTGGAAGCTCGCCTGGGCATCGCTTTGGCGCGAAATGACGGCCCACGAAGGCCTCGTGATTGCTTGAAGACAGCCACGCATGGCGATACAACGGCGCGCGACTACCCAATGTGGCGCCCAAACGGCCCAACATGGCCTGAAGGCGGCCTCAAAAGGCTCCACGACGGCCCCAAACGGTTCTAATAGGGCGCCTCGGAGGACTTCCAGGTGCCAAACTCATAGAACAGGTTTCACTTGTCCTGCGTAAAACATACGGCGGCTCTTCGGCGTCGGGCCCCTAGACGGCCCCCAAACCCCCAAAATAATGTTGAGATGCCCCAAAGACGGCTCGAATCTGAACCCGAAACGGGCTCCAGAAACCGTAGAAGTACCAGAGGCGTTCCCAAGAGGCCCTAAGAGGCTAAGAGGGATCCCAGGAGGCCCCCCAGACCCCAATCATACCACATGGTGTGGCACGTTTCCCGAAAGGGGGGGCGCCGTGGGTCCCGCTGCGCGGGCTCAAGGATTGCTAGTGCGACGCCTGCTTGGTTTAACTTTGACTGGATTACCTGCCTGCGTTTGGTATTCCAGGTTGGAACGACCCCGCCCCGATCAGCTTGGCGTGGCCTAACTCACCTTCGCTCACCCCAGCTTCGCTTCAGCTTGGCCAAGTTTACGCTGGGGCACCGTTGCAACCTTCCTTCCATCCTCTCAACTGTTGCAAGATCGTAAAACGAATGTGCGCGGCGCTGAGGCGGGGGCCCCGTTTTGAATACGACCCGCCGACCACCCTTGAAGTTGCTGCAAACATTGAAGGCGAATGTGCGCGGTGCTGAGGCGAGAGCTCCAATTTGAAAACGCCCCCCCATCCCTGAAGCTGCTGCAAATCTCAAGCTTAGAGTGGTGGGTGGTGAAAAAGACTCAAACCAAACGCCCGGCCCGCCCGACCGACACGTTTGTGAGAGCGGCAGAGGGGACTTCCTTTTCACTACAAAAGATAAACCAGCACGGGCGACGATGAGGGGAATGATGAGCTGTAAGAGCAGGGTCTGCAGGATGAGGGGGAAAAGGAAAAGGATCGGCAACACATGGTGGACTATGACGGCGACGATGATGACGATGACGATAACAACGATGGCATTGTCGATGATGAAGATGATGCTGCTGTTGCTTTTGCTGATGGTGATGGTGTTGTTGTTGGTGGTGATGATGCTGAGAACGATTATGATGCAGATGCTGCTGCTGCTGGCGATGACCATGACGACGTAGAGGGTCAAGTCAGTAGGGGAGGAGGAGGAACATGAAAGGGAGGAGGAGGACGAAAGTGGGTAGCACGGGAAAAAGAGGTACAGCGGAAGGAGGGGCGAGGACGAGGGAGAGGCGAAACAAGGAGAATGGGTGAGTGATAGGAGGGGAAGCAGAGGAGGACAATGAGTAGGAGAGGGCGGGCGGAGTACACGAGGAGGGGAAGGGCAAGCAGGACGAGGATGCATGGCCGCCCGAAAACCACCCTTGCACCCAAGAGCCTCTCCATAACCGCTCATCACCCTTCCTACTTCGTCGGAGGTCGGGATGCGAGAGTGGATCAAGGGCGGGGAGGGAGGGCGGTAGGAACGAAGATAAGAGTCTGGAGGACGAGGGGTGGGGGCTGAGAGAAAAGAGGATGGTGAGGTGGATGGGAGATGAAGATGCAACATGCAAACACGCATTCGGCCTCACGAAGCCCACAAGTGAGCCACAATCGTTGCCTCCAAACGTCACAGAAAAGTCGGACAGGGGAAAATAACGAGGAGCGAAAAGGCGTGAGAAGGGAGTGGGAGGAGCCAGGAGGAAGCGAAGGACATGAGAGGAGAGGGAAGGATAAAATGACTGGCATGAAAGAAACGGGTCCTCAGGGGAAACAGGTCCTGGACCATGGGGCCATCTCCCAGGACCAGCTCTTTAGTCGTTCTTTTACAATACCAGCGCCTGTGGAGGGCCGCAGAGCCCGGAGAGAAACCCCACGACCAACTTCCCTCATGATCCTCTTCCTCCATGGCGAAGAATCGCAGAGGACGCGAACGAGGTGGAACCTGCCATGCTCCGCGCTAGAGGCGGCCAGGGGTGTGAGCTTGTTGGGCCCGAGAAATGGCTCAAGAGGAGGAATGGAGGCGAATCAGCTCAAAATCGGGCCCCCAAATCCGATCCATCTAATGCCGATTTTCACCCCAAATCCGTGTTTGACAGTCTGGGGCCTGACAGCGGCCGCCGGAGCTCGAAAAAACAAAACCTGTTGAACCCAGCGCATCGAACCTCGCCCCCATCTTCCAACTCACCGGAACCAGTGCTGGGCCACCTCAGAGCCCCAGCCGGCTCGAAGAAGCCCCGCGCGTTCTCGCAGGACCCCGCGAGCGCGCAGCGCGCCTGCTTGAGCGCCGCCCGTGCCCGGCGCGGGCCAGACGGGTCCCGTACTGAGACCGCGGCCCCCGTCCGAGCGTCGGACGCTCCCAGACCTTCAACGCCCTCGTCGTTGTCGTCGTCGTCGTCGTCATCATCGTTGTCGTCGTCGTCGTCGTCGTCGTCGTCGTCGTCGTCATCGTTGTCGTCGTCGTCTTCGCCGCCGCCGCCGCCGTCGTCGTCGTCGTCGTCATCGTTGTCGTCGTCGTCGTCGTCGCCGCCGCCGCCGCCGCCGCCGCCGCCGCCGCCGCCGCCGTCGTCGTCGTCGTCGTCGTCGTCGTCGTCGTCGTCGTCGTCGTCGTCATCGTCGTCCGTCGTCGTGGTCGGTGGTAAGGCTTCTGGTTGCGCACAGACGGCCCACCCAGGTAGCCCCAGCTGGCCGCCACAGGCCCCTCGAGTAATCCCAGCAGCGCAAGGCGGTCTCAACACCCGGGGTGCGGAGCGCCATAGGGGCGTCGCCGTTGGCGGCGCCAGGGTGTTGAGACCGCCCCTGACTACCCGGGGGGCCTGTTGAGGCCAGGGGGGCTACTCGGGGGAATTGTTGAGGCCAGCTGGGACTACCTGGGGGCTGTCCGTGCCAGATCAGGAGGGAGTTTTTGATGCAACTTTCCGCCTCCAGGCGGCGCCCACAAGCCACGCGACCGTTAAAAGACGACTCGGTTTGAAAAGCTGGCCCAGGTGAGGAGGGCCGATAACTCCTCGGGCCCCACGGGCCCCGCGGGTCGAACACAACAAGGCGTCGGATGCCTGGTCTCTTCCTGTTCCTGTGCTTGCCGCGTCCCTCCTCTTTCCCTCGCTTGCGCGCGGGGCTCATTCGAGCCACTGGTATCCGAAACGCCTGACTGGCCCGTGGCGAACGCTTGCGACGCACGCTGAACAGACATGGCGGGAAGCGTCAGATATCGGCACGCTGGTCACAAGCAAATTTGGAGGCGGCAAGGACAAACGGACCCAGACCTCCGACCGTCGCAAAACACGACGCCGTTCGTCTGCTTCTGCAAATCTGGCGTCCCAGAACCATTTTCGGGGCCCTGTGCTCAAACATACTAGCAGCGACAAGCATTTAGTCCAGGGGAAGGGGAAGGGGGAAGATGACGGCGACGACGACGACAACAAGGACGACAACGAGGAGCACACGGAATAAGAACACGTCGCCCGTCATCTGCCTTCTTCTGGTGGCGCGCACAATTCGAAGGGCCCATATGCAAGCCTTCTAGGTCTTAGAAGGCCTCCTCAAGATTCGACGAACCGGGGCCTTCTTAGAATCCAAGGACGCCCCGCTTCGTAGACGCCCTCCTGTCTGCAAGAAGCCTCTTTGAAGTCTTTGAAGAAAGTCTAGCCCCGTCTGACCCCGCCCCTATGCCTCCCTAGAACGCCGCCCTGCTCGCCCATGCCTCCGAAGAACGAACCCGCTCAAGACTGAACAATTTTCAAAGCTGCGCCCAGCCGTGACTAAGAACTTGAAGAAGCGCCCGAACGCCTTCAAAATGACAACGTCGTTGACATCGACGACGAAGACGACAACGACGACAACGACGACGACGACTACGGTCCCCGGAGGTTCCCCGAAGTCCCCCCAGAGGCCGACGTGGGTCCTCAGATGCATCTGGAGATCCCAAGGGGCCTCCTGAAGCTTCATGCCAAGCTCCCCTAAAGACCAACAATCAAACTTGGATCCCCGCTTCTCCTGGTCGTCGTCGTCGTCTTCTGAACTGTCCAGAGGTGCTTCCTGGCCATAGTTGCCTTGAAGGGAATCCAGCCGCGGCGACGGGGACGGCCCCGGAAGGACGCAGAACGTCCAGACGCCCCGATCCTCGAACGTGGCTCCTCGATCCACGAACGTCGATCCTCGAGCCTGCCAGCCCCCGCCCCAGCCAGCATAGACTGCGGCAGGTCGCGCACGCACATGACAAAGTGCAGGTAGATCGCGGCGACCACGAGGGGCAGCGGCAGGTCCTCCGCCCCTCGCTCCTCGTCGTCGTCGTGCTCCTCCTGCCCAAACGGCACGGGCCTCCTCCTGGTCTTCGAGTTGCCGAAACGGTGGCTGGGGCGTTGGTGGTTGACCCAGTGTGCGAAGGTCCTGGTCAACCATTTCGTAATTCCAGATGGCGGTCAGCGCGGCGGGGGTTCTGCGTGGACCGCCTGCGTGCGTAACTGACCAACCACCATGTAGATCACGCAATGGTGGGTAGGTCTGCATGGGTTGCTTCTTGATGCGCAGGCAGACAGCAGTAGCCACCATCGCACTAATCTACAAATCGTTCATTCAAATGGTCGTCGTCGTCGTTCTCCTCTTCCTCTTCCTCCTCCTCCTCCTCCTTCTCCACATGCCGACGGTGCTCCTTCTGCATGCCTCCGGTAACTTCGAGGCCGCGCGGCGGCGAAGCGCCATCCACACACCGAGGCATGGTTCGGAAGGGCCCTGGGGTAGGCCGGCGGCGAACTGCTATCCGCGCATACCGACGCGTTAGGCACCATAAAACATACCGAGGCTGCCCCAAGGCTTGCTGAGGGGGCGCATAACATGTGATGCAGGAGGACGATGGGGGGGAGGGGGAGGGGGAGGAGGATGGGAGGTCGTACCAGACTCCTCGTCCTCCTACCTCCTCCTCCTCCTCCTCCTCCTCCTCCTCCTCCTCCTCCTCCTCCCCCTCCTCCCCCTCCTCATCCTCTTCCTCCTCGTCCTACTCTTCCTCCTCCTCCTCCTCCTCCTCCTCCTCCTCCCTCCACAATCCCGTCACCGATATCCTTCTCTCCATCCTCCCCCTTCTCTCTTTTTCGCGCCTGGCTCGCCCTCTCCTCCTCCCTCTCACCGCCCTGTCCTCTCCCTCTTCCGTCCCCTCCCCTCCTCCTCCTCCTCCTCCTCCTTATTCTCCATCTCGCTCTGGAGGGGCAGGTGCGAGTCCTTGGGCGTGTCTGAGTTGGGCCGTGGCAGAAGGGTCGCCCAGATGTACCACAAGATCATGGCCTGGGTACTGACTGCAAACATGAGATCTCACGAGGTTTGTGGAGGAGGAGGAGGAACATGCGGATGAGACGCAAGGGGAGAAATCTCAGGTGGAGCGGAAGTGCAAGAGGTGGGCCAGTAGCTGCACGAGCAGCTGGACGAGAAGGATAAGAGGAGGAGGAGGAGGAGCACAAGGACGGTGGATGATGGAGCGCGGGGACGGAGGGATGAGGAGTACGAAGGGGCCAGAACAAGCACGCAGGATAGGTGGATACTAAGAAGGATGACAAGAAGAGCGATGAGGACGACGTTCGACGATCGAGCATAGACGACTGAAACGACGACGATGACGACAGCCCGTGGGCCTGTCCGGGGGCGCGTTCTGACAAGAATTTCGAGGCGAATCTTAACATGGTAAAACAATTCGCCACGGAGGCTCGCACATAGCCAAAGACATCCCATAACCTCGACCCTGGAACCTCGACGGCGACGACGGAGAGTTGTGACCCGGAGAATCCAACAAGAACACTCCGACCAAACTCGAATCCAACATCCTTAGTTTGGAACGCAATCCGGAGCCCGAGACGCAAACGTTGCGAACGTCATGATGCGAGGCTGCAGCCTGTACGACTCTGGAATCCATAATCTAGAACGCAGACCAAGCGATGCGTCACAGCCAGCAACCTATCGGAATCTGAAATCCCAGCCCGGGAATCTGGAATCCAGCATAACTATGATGCCTCAGAGAGCCAGCCCGTCCGACTCCACAAACCAGAGATTCTACATTCGAAAACCCTACCCAAGATCTGATATTGTAATCTGGGATCCAAAAATCTGGATCAGAGCATCCAATTCGGGGAATCCGAACCCCGACTCTAGAATACAAATCTTAATTCGAAAATGCGATCAGTAAAGCGTCAGTTCCGAATTCGAGAGTCCGATTTAGAATCTGAGCCCTGAGTCCGATTTGAAGCGCTGCGATTCAGACCCTCTGGCCCCCTCCTCCTTGTCAGCGCCCCCTCCTCCTCCTCCTTCTCCTGGTCATCATCGTCCGAATGATCATTCTCATCCAAGTTATCATCATATCCCCCACCTTCTCGTGTCCCTCCTGATCCCCATCCTCCTCCTAATCATCCACGTGCTCCCCTTATCATCCTACTGTTCGTCTACATCATTTTGGTCGTCCTCGTCCTCGTTCTCGTCCTCCTCTGCCTCCAGCTCCTCCTCCTCATAATCATAATCATAGACATCTTGGTCCTCAACTTCATCAGACTCGTAAACAGCAACACCACTAGCATCGTCATCGTCGGCATCATCGGTATAACCACACCAACTGTCATCACCATCACCATCGTCATCGCCATCACCATCACCACCACCACCACCATCATCATCATCATCATCATCATCATCATCATCATCATCATCATCATCATCATCATCATCATCATCAACATCAACATCATCATCAATACCATCATCATTATTATCAGCATCGGCAACATCATCACCGTTCCCATAGACAACATGATTATCGTCATGGTCAACGTCATCATCATCGTCATCAGCATCATCATCCTCATCACCATCATCATCATATTTATCACCGTCATCGTCAGCACCATCTTTATCACCACCACCACCATCATCAGCATCATCATCACCACCACCAGCATCGCAATGAGCATGCGCTAACTCTGCTGAACGTCTTCCCTCCTCCCCAAGGCGACTGCGAGGCACGTCCATGCGGCAAACAGTGTGACGGGGCGAAGGGCTTGGCCGCTCACCAGCGCCACGCCCACGGTGTCAACATGCAGGCTGGATACTTGATCCTAGGAACGCACTGTCCGAGCTGTCGCAATACTGTCCATACTCGGTCTCGAGCCTTGGACCACTTGCGGTGTTCGAGCAAGTATTGTCGCGAGAAGATGAAGTCAGGCCTGTTAAACCACCACTCCGAAAAGGATGTTGTAGCAACTGGAAGAGTGAATGCTGTAGCACTTCGCGATACAGGAGCCCGAAGCGAAACTCTCACCCAAGCTCTGTTTCCTCCGCTGGCACCCGACGAGATCCCCGCAGCTGCAACTCATGCACCGTATACCGCGAAACCACGTATTATAATACGAATGTAGACCCGCCACCGTGTACCACAAAACATCCAAACAACATTGTGTGAGAAACACCGGCTTCGGTGTTTTCGGCGAAAGCGCAAAAAGGGCAACCCGTGCAACGCCCTGTTTGCAGGGCGCCGGATTCAAATCTACTGTCCTGTGCGCTGCCCCTCGGCCGCGCCCGTGGCCTCTTCAGGTAGCGGAAGGGCTCCAGGCTCGCCAACAATCCAAACAATCATTCGTCATCGTCATCATGACCATCGTCGTCGTCAAGCCCTGGCCCGAGGTTCAGAGGCATGAGGGCCAGTTCGCCCCCGTGCGCTGCCTTGTACCTTCTTTCGGCACTGCGATGCGCGGCCCATCTAATGAAAATTGTACAATGGAACCCTTTGTCTCTCTCTGACTATGACAGGAGACTGGAAGTTGCGCAGCAATTGGAGTTTGCAGATCTTGTGCTTCTCTCCGGCACGACGGCCAGGAAGAATCGGGACCACCCCACTTACCATGAGCTGCTCTATCACGATCACTTCAAGATGCTGAAGTTTGGATGGGGAGGCGGCCGAGGGAGTCTTGCCAACAAAAGCTGTGGAGTGGAGATCTGGCTGAATCGTGGACGCTTTCGACGCTCCCACCTACAGCACTTCTGGCCTGTTCACAGTTCACTACATGGACGACTGGGAGCAATGCGTGTAAAGTCCTCGCAATTCGACCTCACTCTGATCGTGAGTTACTTCCCCCCGAGGTGCACGGAGGCCAAAGGCATTCCGCGCTACGAGACCACGGTGCGCAGGCTGACCGAGACGCTGATGGGTATTACGGAGGGCACGCCGAACAGGAGCTTGATCATTGCTTCAACAGATCTGAACGACGGGATGGGCATTCAATCTTGTGATGGACTGCTGCAGGAGACGGACAGCACCAGCATCGGGCCCTTCAGTCGCAGCCTGGAACACTTGGCAAGCACCTCTTATCGAGAATGGCTGGAGGATAGCAACATGGCGGTTGTCACTAGCTTCCACGCGTGTGGCCCCACGTACCATGGACACACAAGTGCGAGCTATATTGATCACCTGGTCATATCGTCGCCCTGGTTGGTTCGAGTTTAGAGATGTGCACTTGCATACAGCCTCACTCGAAAGGTGCGTGCGATACCGAGTGTTGCAATTTTGGATCACATAGACTTCGACTTGAGCGCGAAGCTGACCTCACCGATAAGCTGAAGACAGCACTACGTACTAATCGGGAAGACCTGGCATGGCGAGTGTGTTTTGAGAAGGCGGGGAACGGGCTGCGACCAGGGAAACGAAACATATATGTGCTCCCTGACTCACAACCTCACCTGCAGACCTGGACCGAGGATCTGGCACTTGCAGGAGGAGAAGGGGGGTTCGAGGCAGTACGCGTAGATCGAGATGCCTTCATCGCACAGGCTTCTGAGTGGGACTACCCATTCTACCCCGAGATGGAGCACTGGACCGCGGCGAATACCGACCTGGACCGACTAACCGAGAAGTTCTCCAGTGGACACCACCGCCGCGCCTCGCCACAGTGGTCCTTGCCAACGGAGATATGGTGCCTATTAATGTCAAGCTGCGAACCCCTCAAGCCTGGAGCAGAGAGACAACAAATTACCGGACCTATGTTTCAAGAGTTCTTACTGGCACAACTGGCTGGGATACGGCAACATCAACGTCTGAATGCATGGTGGAACCTCTCTCAGACGTATCAGGTGAGCAAGTTGAACAACAAACCGAAGACATGACGTACACGTTTGCTACACGGACTCTGCAGCTTCGGCAAGGCCTGGGTGGGAACACGGAAGCTACGAGCAGATCTGGAGCTACCGCATGAAGATCACGGCTATGCCTCAGGTCGCTCCCGCGTTGGAGCCTTGGTAGTGGGAAATGTCCTACAGTGGCGTCTTCGAGCAGCGAACCTGAGCCACATCACGACCAAGCACGACATGACGAATGCCTTCGCTAGTGTGGATCACGAGCATTTGGATCAGACAGTCACAAACATGTACACGGCAGAGGACACGCAGATTATGATGTCACGGCACAATCGTACGGCTTTTGTAGTGAATGCGCACGATGGCGAGGGCACCTTTCACAACAAAGTTGGCTGTTTCATGGGAGACTCCGATGCCGCGACGAAGTTCAGGAGGGCGTTCGAGCAGCCGACCCAGGAATGGAGGAGGGCGCTGTTCCCGACCTCTGCGGTGCACGAGCTGACGGCAGGCTGCCCCATCACGCAGAAGACCTGCGAGCTTGGGGTGCGCAAGTATGCCGATGATCTTACTTGCACGCATGTGATTACTGATGCTTGCAGCGCAGCGGTGATGGTCGAGATCTCTGATCGGCACCTCGATGCTGCGCTGGAGACTGTTGGACTGGCTCAGAGTAAGGAAAAAAGGGCGGTCAGCCCTTGCTTTGTAGGTCGGGAATCCCAACGTTCGACCAGAGCACTGCACTACCATCGGGTGCCCTCACCTGGAGAAGTTCAGGCGACATCGGTGTTCCTGGGAGCTCGGACCCAAACCTCTGGTCGAAACGAAGAGGAAATCAAGGCCAGATGCATAGCCATGCGTATTGGTTGGAGAGGGATGGGCAAGTTCTGGAGGGCCTGCACGCTTTTCGATCGGAAGAGGCTGGTCTTTCAGAGTCGGATGATTGGCGCCGCAGTCTCGGGCCTCGAGGCGAGAGTTCTGATCGTGGACCAGACCAAGAAACTCGACTCGGTGGCTGTCCGCTACGCGAGTGCTCTGTGTCAAGGAATCGCCATCTATCGACAGCTGAACGAGGAGGGGGAGGAAGAGAGGTGGAAGGTCACCACGATCTGTGCGGAAGCCGTCTGGAAGAAGATCAAGGTGGTGCCCCCAGCGTGGAGATAGTCGTGCGTTGGCTTCGACACTATCAAGCTCTTGTCCGCAACCCGCACCGCCACGTCCAGGAGCTCGCTGCTGTCTTTGGGAAGGTTGCGTTTGAGAACACAGAGCCTCAACTGTTCGCATGGGCCCCAGTGTGGACTCCTACGGTGACCCCGACAGACAAAACCAACTCTTGGGCCCTGTAATTCAATAATGGCTTGTTCCTCTTGGGGAGGCTCAACGACGGGCCAGAGTTTCTGGACGTAGGGTGCGACTTCTTGAGGGTCTTCCAGGTCCCCGAGCTGAGTGACAAGTTCCTGAAGTTCAACTTGAAACGCTTGAGGAAGCTCTGGTTAGAGGCCCCGACGGTGACCCCCATCAGGCATTACGAGGACCAGGAGTGCTACGAGGGAGGGTATCTCTGTTCTCTTCTCAATGGCGACGGTCTGGAGTGCGGGAAGAGGTTTAGGACAGTGCACGCACTACGGGCACATCAAACTCATCGTGGAGGGGGAGAGCACGGTCAACTGAACACGCTGACCAAATACACGGTTGCCAATCAATGTCCTTCGCGTGCTTCAACGTTTGCGTGTCGTAGGACGGCGATAAATCATATCACAGCAGCGTACCGTCATGGCAGATGTATGGCACAGAAGTCCACGTTCAACTTTCCTGTTGTCATCCCGCAGCAGTTTGTTTGCCCAGAGGAGAGTGTGCACTCGAGTCTGGCACACTCGAATATTTACAGCAACACATATCCTCGGCACGCCTTCCTCAGCCGACTTCGAATGTCGTGGTTGCAGGCGCTGCCCGCAGCAGAGGAGGACCACGCACCCGTCCAGAAGCAACGTCGCAGGGGACAGCGAGGCTCTTCGGCACAGGTGGCAAACGGCGGCGGCGGGAGCCAGGGCCCGATGAAGAAAGACCCGAATATCGTGGATCTCAGCGACCTCGACAACGAGACGTGCGATGTCAAGCAGATGCAAAAGTTCTTCCCAGTCATGATGCGTCTCATCCTCAACCTGGCCATGAGCCAGAGGCAGCTCGAGTCCATCGAGCTGAAGACCTTCCTGATGTCCTCAGGCGCTCAAGTGGCAGTGAAGGCGCGGGCTCGCGTCAGAGCGTGGATCAAGGCGGCGGAGGAGGCAAGAACGACGCTTGCCAAGGAAGACGCAGAGAAGAAGATCAAGGAGATGGGCACGATCTCGGTGGCGTGCTATGCGGGGGTGTTCGAGGGCCTGGCAGCCGAGGGCAACGCAGTGGGCCGCACCAACCAGCAGCAGTTGGACGAGCTGAGCAAGCAGCCGAACCAGCTCACGCATGTGGAGATGGGCGAGGCCGTGCCGCTCGCAAAGATCACCGACGCGCACGAGGATGGGAAGGTCAAGCTGGTGCTGAGCTTCACGTCGAGGCTCAACTTCGCGCCCGTGCTCGCGTCCCTGGTGCAGGCGGTAGCGGAGTACAAGCAAGGAACCGCACCCATGGGGCACCTCGAGAGATTGCTGCACACGGGGCTGCAGGAATTCGAGAGCATGATGCAGGAGTAGCCGTGGCCCACGACCGCCTACGCCCCCGAGAGGAGCCCGAGTGCAGGAGCCTTGAAGCACCTGAAGTGAACACACGACGGGTAGAGCTGCTGGTGAGAAGCCCGAGTCACGCTGCCAGCAGGCCGATCTCTCCTCCCCGCGTCCCTCTTCCTCCTGGTCCCTCGAGGCCTCTCCCTTCCTCGATCCTGCCCACTCCTCGCAATAGAATGGCATCGCACGAGTCTGGCTTTCAGGGCCGGGTGGTTGGTGGAGTGCCCAGCGTCCGCCGCCCCTCGAGTGCAGAACAAGGGGGGGCGGTAAACGCGCGAAGACTTCCGTTGCCTCGACGGGCCTGGCTAAAATAGGGAGCCCACAAAGGACGTACGCGCCCAGCTATGTACATGAACACGGCCCCTCGATTCGCGAGACCGGCCGCGTTATACGAACATTTGTGCAATGCGTGCTCTCGAAACCAGCGTGGATTCATGTACATGTACGTCCTTCTTTCGCTCCTGATAAAAAACCTGGCCCCGAGGAGACCACTGTGCCAGTAGTGATCAAGCGGGGCAAACCTGCCTCGCAGGGGTTTTCAGTGCAGTGGAGCAGCCACGATGTGTCGGCTGCTCTTCGTTTGCTTCAGAGGGCACCGCGGCAACAGCGGGGCCCTTCCTCGTTGTGAGCCGCGAGGTGCACGGCCGCGCATCGCAAACTTACGCTCGGGTGTAGCCCGATCCAAGGGGCAGCTGCTGGATGGGAGACCTCGCTGGCCCCCTATGGGTTCTGATCTGCTCTGATCGTCGTCGTCATCATCACGACCATCATCATCATCATCACCACCATCATCATCATCATCATCATCATCATCACCATCATCATCATCATCAGCCTCATAATCAGCATCATCAGCATCATCAACATCATCAGCATCATCATCATCAGCATCATCATACTTATCATCATCATCACCATATTTAGCATCATCATCATCACCACCACCATCATCATCATCACCACCATCATCATCGTCAACATCACCGTCAACATAATCATCATCGTCACCATCATCCTAATGATCATCCTCATCATCAACATCATCACCATTACCAACATCATCATTAATAGCATCACCGGCTCTAACATTATCAGAATATTCTCAGTCCTCAGCATCATGATCACCGTCTCTATGGGCGGACCCTAAAAAGTAGGTCGGGCGCGAGCGACGAGAACCCTGGGCAGACGTGCCTTCAAACAAACGGCCGGGAACACACTACAAGGCGGGTGGGGCGCGACGAAGACCCAAACGGGTGGGTCGGGCTAGTAGGCCCTAACTGGCAGATGGGAGGACGCTTGGGCGGGTCGGGCGGGCAGGACATGAAAGTAAGCGGGCGGACTGTCAAGCAACAAAGCGGGTGGGCCTTAACTGGCGGGTCGGGCAGGCGGACCCTAACTGAAGGGTTTGGGGTGTGTGAATCCCGACGGGCGGGTCGCGCCCATCACATCCACATGATCACCATCATATGCACAATCATCCTCATTCTGGTACCAGCACCACCTTCATCCGCATCACCGCTATCATGATACACCCCTTCTTTCTCATGTTCAACCTCTTCTCGCCATCACCACTATCCCCTCTATGCCCTTGCCTGATCCTGTCCCGCCTTCCCATGTCTCGTCCTCCTGCCAAAACCCATCCTCGTCGTCATCCGCAACAGATCACCATTAACCTTAACGTGCAATTATCGATCTCCCCCGTCACGCGCGGCTCTGGGATAAACAATCTGGAGGGAGGGCGCCGAGAGACATCGTTAGCACCCACAATGCTGAATCCACTTCCTGGGGAAAACCAATCGTCAGGACTGTGAAGGATCCCGCAGGAAGCCTAAGACATCCTCTAGGAATCATTTTGGAATCCTCTGTGAATTTCGTCGCAATCCCAGAGAAATATAGATGAACCCGCGGGAATTCTTCAAGAATCTTGAGGAACCCTCAGTATCCAGGCGAACCATGCACGATCCACCAACAAACTTGCAAACATCGTCAGGACTTCTGGATACTGACAGGACCCCCACTACTCTTCAAGAATCCTGACGAATACTCTGGGCCCGAGGAATTCCAAAATATTTCCTTCAGCAACAGGCAGGAACCTGTACAAATCCTCCGGCATCAGCCAGGAATCCTTCGCAACCCGCAGGAATCCTCACAACCCCTGGAACAGTTTAGAAATATGGCACCTCCATCCTTGCTCGAAACTCCATCCACGACGCTGCGACACCCGCGGACTCTTCAAATACTGAAAACAAACCACCGACGTCTCGACGTGAAGCGCTAGGGAAGCTGTGTTAAAATTGTCATGCTCAGTCTTCTTTTTCAATGATGGAGTCTGATGCCGCATGATCGCGACATGGGGGCTCGAGGCATGCAGCGGCGGGGCTTATCGTCCACAGAAATGGAAAAAACGGTGCAGGAACATGCGCGCATTGTGCATGACAGGTCCAGGGTGGCCGTGGGCGGGAGGGCTTGAGCCCCAGCAGCGTCGGGGCAATGCTGCCGTTGGGCGGCTGCGAAACAAAGAAACCAGAGCAAGCTCGTGCAACACACATTCATGCTCAGCCTTCTTTTTCAATGGTGAAGTGTGATGCCTCATGGTCGCGACCCGGAGGTTCGAGGCATGCAGCGGCCGGGCTCGTCGTCCATATGCTTCGCAAAGCCGAAGTTCTCAGCGTAGCGGCACAGACCATTTTACGGAGGCGGAAAAGGCGCCGACCTGGGAATTCACGATATTCGCAGCATCTTCTCTCATCACAAGTTCAACGACGGTTTACGCAACCGCGATGGCATTCGAGAGGGATGATTAGCAGCCGGCGCAGTCATTGCCTCTTCTTCGAGGCCTGACGGAAAAATAACCGTGACTCCCGTGACATTTCAGTAACCGTGCTTCCCGTGAAGCGGCCCTGGTGTGAGAGCGCCAGGTTCCCATATTCGGTCGCGCAGCCAAGAACAATTCAGGTCGCCGTCCTCCACCTCGCTACAACAGAACATTGTTGCTGTTCGGCCAACCGACAATGAGACCACACATGAGAGGCCATATCTTGGCATCGCCACATAGGCGAAGTGAAAGGAGTCCCTAAGGCAACAGGCACCCCGTACTTGCGACAGTCTCGCAATGGCAGCCACTCTCACGCGCAGATTTCCAACGCGCACTGCCTCCCTTTCTCTGGCCCGCGACGGCGGAGCCCCCCCCCCCGCTTGAGCGGCGCTCCTGACAGGATAGCTGTTCCGAGCCAGCGAAAAGGGCGAAACAGGCGGCGCCGACATCGCCGCTCTTACCAGACCAAGCTTAAAATGCCGCTCAATCATGTTGAGATTGAGGGAGCTGCACGCGTCTTGGTCCGGCCCTCTTCTCAGGTCAAGACGCGCTGCATCGCGTCGCAATCTTCTCGCGCAGCCGCCCGCCCCGCCTCCGCCAGGCAGCGCGCGCAGCAGGCTTGGGGCCTTTTGTCGCAGCAAGTCGCGACTCGCAGGCCCCCGCGAGAGCCCTCTCGGCGGGCGAATGGCGGCGTCGGCGCGTGGCGGCCCAGCAGTGACATCTCCTGCGGCTGCCTCGCGGCCGTCGCACAATGATTCTCTGTGACATCCTGGAGACATTCCCAAATCTCCTTCAAACTTCCTGACTTCTCGTATCTCTTCACCGACGTATTCCCCTTTTCTGGGCCTCCTCCTGCGGGCGTCGACCTGTTGCCCGACCCAGCGATGCTCCGCTGTGCTGGCCATGCTAGGTGGCGACGTCGGCTCCGATATACAGTGCTGATCGCTGGAAGAGGCCCAGAAACCAAGGGCGGCTCATGCCCGGGAGGGGCCTGGAGGAGCCTTTATCCTTCAGCGCGGAACATGCGGCTCATCTAAGGGCGCCGCCCCGAATCGCACGGAATCGCATCTGCTGCCTATCTCGCCTTGCTCCGGGCCGCTCCCGCTTCTGGAAGCAGCCGCGCGATGCAGTGCTGAACAGCGCGTTCACTCGGAGCCAACAGAGTTGCGGGCAAACCCCAGCACCTCCCCAGGACGAGTATAGCACTCCGCCGTAATCAACGCCATCGCACCTGCCAGCGGCGCTCTCAGACGGCGCGGCTCCACAGCCATATCCGCCCAGGTCGCGAACGCCGAGGGCTTGCGAGAGAGAGAGAGAGAGAGAGAGAGAGAGAGAGAGAGAGAGAGAGAGAGAGAGAGAGATGGTGACAGCTTCTTCAACCCCTTCAGGCGCCGCGACGATCGGGGCAGATGCAGGCCGCCCAGGCGGCCGTAGTCTGGGTGGAAGAACATCAGCCCAGGGGGCAACTTCTCCCCGCGCCAGGCCTTGACCCCCTTCAGGAGCTCGCCGTTCATGACCTACCGGGTACGCGTCCAGCTCGACCGGCGCTGGCAGCGCATGCAGCGAGCAGCGGGCCCAGACGAAGAAGGCGAGCGCGCGCTGGCGGTGGGTCTCGAGCGAGGCTGCGCCCCCGGAGCGCCTCTGGAGGGATAGCTGATGCCTGGCTTCCCCTTTTCCGCGACAGCCGAGGCGCCCCCCCTGGCGTCGAGCGCCTTACTGGCCCGGGCCGCGCCCCGAGTCTCGAGGCGCCTCCAGCAGCTGGCAGCGGCGGCGGACTCCTCCACGTCGCTGCTGTCCTCGCTCTGGATCTCCGTCACGCCCGCGCCGGCCTCTCGGCCAATGGCGCCCGCGGTGGCAGCCGGAGCTTCGCGGCCGATCCGCTTCCCAGAAGATCCCCGCAGTTCCCCGATGCGGACCCAGCGCTGACTTCGGCATCACCAGCCTGGCTGCAAGCCCACGGCTGCGATCCGGCCCCCGCGCCCTCCGAGTCGCGGCGCCTCTGCCGCCTCTCGCCGCTCTGCTCCAGCACTCAGCACCCGCGCGCGGCGCCTGCTCGGCTCGCTCGGCGCCGAGGCCAGGGGCGCCGAATATCTGTTCAGCGTCCGCTGCCGCCCGCTCCCACGCTGCGCTGGCGACCGCCAGGGAGGCATGCGCAAGGCGTGGATCAACCTGGGCGAAAGCGTTTTTGAAACAAGATGGGATGCGAGTCTTGCTGCTGTCGTACTCAGGATCGAATCTCCGACTTCCCTCGTCTCCAGGATTAAACTCGCGTGGGGTCCATCGGACAACGAAATTGATACCCCTAGCTAGGCGCAGGGATGCGATGCGACGGACCTGAATGAGAAACCGAAAATCCCTGGACCTGAAGCGGCAAGCACATAGCAAAACTGAGAGGTTATCACCCAACAAGTGGACGGTGCATTCTTTTCACTGGCTGACAGCGCGCAGCGCATGACGCAGCCTTCACGAGCGCCCGTGCCGTAAGTCTATGGATATCATCCTCAAGCGCCCATCGGTCCGCCATCACCGTGGCCCAATGGAGTCATGCAAGCGCTGGCTGGGCACCTCGGGGAAGCTTGGGTCTGCCTCCCAGCGCATGCTGTCCCGCGCGCGCCGCAGCTCGGCGTCGAGCTGGCACGGCGCCCCGCCAGCGCCCCGGACCACCTGGCCCGCCTTGCTGGCCAGCAAGAACCCAAAACACTCGAACAATATGTTGCCGCGCCAGCCCCTCACCCAGGCGCCGCCGCGACAGCTCGGAAATGCGGCCGGCCCCGGCCACCGTCTCCGAGTCAAAGCAAGCCTCTGAGACGCCGTAGCCGCACAAGCTCGCGTCGGAGGAGTAGACGACTGGGGTCCACGGCCTGGTCCAGCTCGACTCCGGCATCACCATGATGCCCAGGTAGCAGTTCAACTCCTCTCTCACTGTAGGCCACGGCGCGGAGTAGGCGTGGCAACGATGCGATACGAAACCGTATACAGCATGAACTAGTGACAAAACCTCGCGACGAACAAGGTCCATGAACGTCACGTGGCCCAGCGCCATTTCCAGCTGCCACCATGCGACATTGCGACGCCGCAGTTGACATCTGAGGCCCTTCTGAACCATGTCGAACCTCTCGTCAGTGGGTCGGGTAGCGAGCCGTTTCCCGTCCACGAATCAGCCAAGGGTGCGGCCGTTCTGGGGCATCAGCTCAACCTCGCGGAACTTCACTTGGTCGATCTCAAAATCCTTCTGCGCCTCCAGCAGCGCCGCCTCTACGTGCGGAGCGTGCATGCCGATGACGCTTGCATTGTCCGAGTACGTGCAGTGGCCGAGGGCGGCTCCTGCGTCGGCGCCGCTCATCGCAGAGAGCTGGGTGAAGATCCGCGGTGAGATCAAGGGAAACATCTGGGGGAAAATCTGGGTGAAGACCTGGAGGATCATCCGGAGGAGAATCTGGGAGAAGGTAACCGTGACCATTTTTTAAACTAGGTTTTCGAATGCCACTCGCGCGACGACGGCAGGGCATGAAACAAAACACACAATTCTAAACATGCTAGACTGAGCCCGGGCATGCCGTCCTATTTTTTGAACTCCCTGTAATTCTGGACCTGAAGGTCCACTTCACAATCCGAACTCAAAAAAATGGAAAACCAGTTCAAACATACAACCATGAATCGGACTCCAGAGCCCAGAATCCAGAACGACTCGTGGATCAAATCCGGATCCAGAACCCGGATTGTGGAATCTGCAATCCAAGATTCTGAATTGGCTTCTTCTTGCGTTTCTGCACCGCCAGTGACGACGGCGATGACGCCGACGATACCGACGTCGACGACGACCGACGTCCTGCAGAGACCCCCCAGGCGTCTCCGGAGGCTCCCAGAGGCCTCCAGAGACCTCACGAGGTCCAGGAAGGAGCAAAAATGTCCAAGAACCTCGATCCTCGAAACTCGACGGCGACGACGACGCTGACAGCAGGAACGACGACAATGACAACGACGACGACCACAACTCCAACCCTCGCCTCCGAAGGTCTCAGGAGACATAGGAAGGGACAGAGGCGTCCAATAACCTCGACGACGACGGCGGCGACGACGGCGGCGACGGCGACGACCACGTCGTTACGATGGCGACGGCGACGGCGCCGAGAACGATGGCCGCGACGACGGCGACGCCGACGCTCGGCGACGATGACGACGACGACGGCAACGGCGACGACGGCGACGGCCACGGCGACAACGGCGGCGGCGGCGAGCGGATTCGGGGGTAGGGGCGCGACGGGCCCGGGCGACCTGCAGGCAGAACGCCTGGCTCGCGATGAGGAGGACGGGTCGCACGTCGTCCTTGTCGCTGGCCTTACCCCACCCCATGCGATTCGATGTCCGATTCGATCTACACTTCGACTTCAGTTTCGCTTTGCCCTCGCCGCCGCCATCGTCGTCGTCGTGGTTGTGGTGGTGGTCGTGGTCATGGTCGTCTCCGCCGCCGCGGCAGCCGTCGTCGGCATCGAGGTTGTCGTCATGGTCGTGGGTATCGTCGTTGTCTTTATCGTGGTAGTGGTCGTCGTCACGGCGATCGTGTTAGTCAATGTGGGGGTGGTCGTCGCCGCAGCAGCAGCCGCCGCCGTCGTCGTCGTCGTCGTTGATTTGATGAATTTGATTTTTGTGGCCCCCCTCGGGACCACTCGCAGCCACATCTGGATACGACTGGGAAGCTTGGCCAGAACGGGCTCCAGGCATGCCCAGGTGTCGATGTTTCATCGTCGCTGTCGTTGCTGTCGATTTGGTGTTTGTTTTGTCCCCCTGGGGCCACATTTAGATTCGACTCGAAATCCTGGTCGGAATGGGCTCCAGACATCATGCCCAAAAGACGATGTTGCGTCGACGCTATCGTCGCTGTCGATTTGATGCTTTGATTTTTGTCACCCCCCTTGGGGCCCCTCGCAGCCGCAGCTAGGTTCGACTCGAAATCCTGGATGGATTGGGATTCAGACATGCACGAGGGTCGATGCTGCGTCGTCGAGGTCGACGTCGACGTCTTCGTTCACTCTTCTCTTCCTCCTTCTTCTCTCTTTCTACTCTCTTTCCCCTCGTCTGAGCCACCTGAATGGACTCCCCGAATGGGCACCTAGCCAGCGACCCAAGGATTTCTCAACCCTCCCTGATGCGGTCAGCTCGACAATGCCCAGAAGGGGCCCTTATGAGGTAATTTTTGTATCGTTTCCATTCTGGTCGATTCCTCTCCACACGGAGGTTCCAGAAGGGCCACCTCTCGCGCCGCTGCTCCGGAGCCCCGCCACCGCCGTCGCCGCCGTGGCCGTCGTCAGTCGTCGCAATCGTGGACGATGTCGCGGCCGCCGTCGTCGACGTCGCCGTTGCTGCCGTCGCCGTCATCGTGGTTGTCGTTGTCATCGTCGCGGTGATTCTCTTCGTCCTTGCCTCTCGTCCTTCCTCTCTCCATCTCCTCCTCTTCGCCATCAGAGGCTTTGGGCGCACCTCCCTCCATCCTGGATGGACGCTCGCGCCTCTATTCTGGGCGCCTCTCCCTCCACTCTGTAACTTCTTCTCCAATGAGGCTTGCCTATCATGCGTAGAGAACTGGTCCACTGGTTCCCCTTATTTTGCCCCAAAATGCCTGCAATGACTTGCCCCCTATTTCGCCCCAAATGGTTGCAATGGCTTCCTCTGGTATTGCGTTGGCTTCCTCTGCTATTGCGATGGCTTCCTTTGCTATTGCAATGGCTTCCTGTGGCTTCCTGTGGCTATTCCAATAGCGCCCCAACAACCGCCCAACCATCGTCAAGCTCAGACGTAGAGTCAAGTAGATCAAAAAGGAGTAGATGAGTTGTGTAGGGCATACTCGAGTAGAGTAGAGTAGAGTAGAGTAGAGTAGAGTAGGACAGGACGAGAGTAGGAGTATAATGCATCAGAGTAAAGTAGAGTAGGTTAGGGTAGGGCCGAGTATGATAGGTAGAGTAGGGCATAACCGGGTCGATGGTAGAGTTGAGCCAGGTATGATAGAGTAGACTAGAGCAGATAATGGGAGAGTGAAGTAGAGTATAATGCAATCGGAGTAGAGTAGAGTATGAGTAGAGTGGAGTACGGTTGGGCAGATGGTAGAGTAATAGAAGGATCGTGTAGGTAGATGGGTGGAGTACAGCAGAGTAAAATAGAGCATGACAAAGTAGAGTAGAGTATGTTCAATTGGGGTAGGGTAGACTAGAGTGGGACGTAGTATGGCAGATGGTGAAGTAGAGTCAGGTCGACTAGAGTAGAGTAGAGTAGAGTGGAGAAGGGTCCACCCCAGTCCAGTCCAATCTACTCCAGTCCAGTTTACTTCAGTCCAATCCAGTCAACGTCATGCCAATATTCCCATTTATAGGGGGTCTGCGCAGGCTGACATTGTCCCTTCATGTTGAGGTTGTGCGGAAGTTTGGCGCCTCTGAGTCCTTCTTCCTTTGGGTATGAGAGAGGTTGCCCTCTCCCGTGGAGCCCCTCCAGAGCCATCCCGCTCACGCCCATATCGACCTGGTGGAAGTACGGGGGGCGGGGGGAGAAGCGCAGAAGGAAAAGGTGGCGGAGGATGAGGGTACGGAAGAGAAGCGGATGGAGGAGGGGAAATATGATGGCGAGGAAAGATGAACAGGAGCGGTAGGAAAAGGGAGGGGCTGGACGAGGTGGAGGGGAATTCGGGAAGGAGGGATGGAAAGGAATGATGGGGAGGAGAATGGAGGGAGAAGGAAGACTAAGCACCAAGGGGGGAGGGAGGACACATGATAGAGAGGACGAGGAGGCAAGGATGAAGAGTAGGGGGAGGTGTATACAAGGGGAGAGCGACGATGACAACGACGGCGGCCGCGGCGCTCCTGGGGCTTCCAGAGGCATCCGGAGGTCCAGAAAAGGGCCACAGACGTCCAAGAGTCTTTACGACGACGACGACGTTGACGTTGACGTTGACGACGACCACGGCGACGGCAGCGGCGGCGACGACGGCGACAACGACGGCGACGCCGATCACGACGGCGAAGATCGCGGCGGCGACGGCGACGACGGCGGGAGTAACCACGACGGCGACTACTACGACGGCGGCGGTGACGGTGGTGGCGACAGCGAGGTCGCGTTGACCTCGAGCGCCTGCCGGTCCCGTAGGCGGATCGTCTCCGCAAAGAGGCTCCCGTTGCCGCCCGCGTCCTGGGGGCTCGGAGCGACGGCGGCGGCGACGAGGAATCTCGTCGTCCTCCTCCTGATCCTCCTCCTCCCCCTCCGTCCATCTTCCTTAGAAATACCCCCTCCTCGTGCCACCAGACGTGCTGGCAGGGTGTTCTGGGCGTGTCGCCAGAGACTTCTTCAACATTCGTGACCCCGGACCGGTTCAACTTTCCAGCTGTTTCGCGGATGAAGGGCAGGTCGCTTTCAAAATGCGGCCACAGGCCCTGGCACCGCGCACAGTCGTCTGACAAATTGACAACAACAGGGATGGAAGGCGAATCGTTTCCACGTGTGGCCCTCGTCTTTGCGCCGCGCACTTTCGCCCGACAAGTCTCCAATAGCCACGAGGTGGAGCAAGGCTGGTTGATTTTCAAGAGAGCTTAAGACTTTTTCGCAGTGTACGACCCAATATTGGCACTGGCGCAGAAATTACAAAGACGGAGGGCAGCTCTTTTTTAGCATTGGGTTGCTTGAGACTTCACCCTGCGCAGCAGCTAGACCGATGGATTGCACCCCCTTTTGAAAACGGGGCTCTCGCTTGACCCTTCATTCAACGTTCTGTTCCTGTCTCTTCGCGCTGCTCAGGGCAATTCCTCTTCATCGGGGGATCTCTTGTCCGAATCGCATCCAGTGGGGCTTTCGTTTCGCAAGGGGAAGCTTCGCGAAGTGGAAACTAACGCCTGCAACGAACTTATGAAGAGAGAACCTGAGACGGGAGGGTGCACGACATCGTCGTTGATTGATCCTCGGCTAACTGGGGTCCTCCTCCTTCCTATTCCTCTGCCCCCTCCTCATCTCCCCTCCCTGCTCGTCCTCGTCCTCCTCCTCGCCATCAGCGTCGTCGTTCTCATCCTCGTCCTCGTAAGATGATGGTGCTGAGGAGGAGGATCAGGAAGCAAGGGCGAGGGCGGCAAGGACGAGGGAGACGATGATGAGATGCATCATGCGAAGATGCGGACGGGGTGGAGAAGGAGAGGCAGGCGAAGGAAGCCGAACGTGGGAGGGGCGGATGGGGAGTCGGATCAGACGATCAGGAGACGAAGGAACATTGGGACGGAGAAGAGAGAAGCGATGAGAGGACAGGGGCGATGAGGTGGAAGAGCAGGGGAAACAGGAGGAAGCGGAGGAAGAGCAGGGGGAGAGGCAGGGGGAGCAAGAGCGGAAGGACGAGGATCATCAGGGTGAGGAGCGCGGGCCCTCTCGCCGACGGAGCGGAGAGCGTCGGTCCCAAGCCGCACGCCAGCGCGGCGAAACTGATAACGCCCTAGACGGGCCGCCCTCGGCCCGCGACAGGAATAGCTCGGCTACACGAAGCAGTGACCCTGGGCAGGAGTAACCTCTGGTGCGCGGCCTTAGGGGGGGGCCCTTTGGGGACATCAACAGGCGCGCAGTGGGCCCGCACCGAAGGTCGCTCCGGCGAAAGGTCACTCTTGCGTGCAGCCGAAGAACTGCAGCAGGTCGAATTGTCACTGGCACGCGCAAGGCGTCCAGAACGGAGGGGAAAAAAGGGGGAGGGAGGGCCTCCGTGCCTCCTCCGCCTCCGCTCCGTCCGCGCCCCAACTCCCTCCCCACCCCCCCGACGTCATGGCTTTTCTTAGCGTCGACCCCCCCCAGGTCTCGACCCATTCCACGGTCCCGAGGCCTGGTAAGGCCCCCCAGAGGCTGCAAATAGCGAAAAACCTCTCGACGTGTTTTGTTTCAAGTCTCGAAGGGGTCTGGGTCCCCTCGATCGTCCACGGTCGAGGGAGTCTTTGGGGGGGAAGGGAGCGTTTTTTCTGCCACCGCGTCGGGCGTCGGGGGGCCTCCCGAGGCCTCTGGAGGCCTCCGGGGGCTTCTGGGAACCTCCTGGAGTCAGGGCCCTGGGCGGGAGCGAAACAAACCGCCTCGTTCCCACCAGCCTGCTCCTCCTCCTCCTCCTCCTGCTGCTCGCCCTGCCCTTCCACCTCCCCACGGGGGACGAGGAAATGCATGGGGAGGGGGACCAATTATGTTGCCCAGTTCGACGGAGCCTTCCCCGGTTTCACTGGGCATTCCTGGCAGAAGTGGATCATTCCCTCGGCCTTCTCGGGTCTTGAGGTATTCCCGAATTTTCTGTTTGAGGTCCTTTTCAACACTTCCCAGCGGTGTTTCGTGTGCATCTTTTGATCCTCTCATGCGAGCGTGCACCCACCTCTGAGCGGCTTCTGAAAGGCTCTGTCAGTACTCTCTCAGTGCTCGCGCAACACTCTATCGGTACTCTCTTGGATCTCCCCCGAACGTCTCCCAACACTCTTCCAGAACTCACTCCGAACTCTCTCAGCAATCTTGCTGAACTCTCACAAGACCCTCTCTCTGCTCTAACAGCGTTCTCTAAGTACTCTCTCGATCTTTTCTCGGTGCTCTCTAAGAACTCTCTCAGCGCTCTGAGAACTTTTTCGCAGCGTTCTCAGTACCCACCCAGTGTTATTTCAAAACTTCGCCTACACCCTCAATACTTTGAGAGGCACCTGGGAGGCCTCTGAATAGCCTCTGAAACACTTTGGAATGGCTTCTGACAGACCTATGAGAAGCTTCTGAGAGGCCTCGGACTTGCTTATGTAAAACATATCCGAACCCTCTGAGTGACTTCTGACAGGCCTCTGAGAGGCTTCTGGGAAGTTTCAGTGAGGCGTCGGAGAGGCCTGTCCGAGGGAGCGGGCAAGGGGGAAGGAGACCAGTTTGAGAGGCAATGAGCACTAAGAGAAGCGGCGGAAAGGGGTGAGGGAGTCAGGTGCGATGTCACATCGGAAAACAACAAGAGGATTTCGAATATGAGGGATGATGAGGAGGAGGGGAAATCGATTGGGGCCTCTTGAGTGGCCTGCGGGGGGGATTCTTGGCATCTGGGACGCATCTTGGTGGCCTTGTGGAATGCTACTGGGATTGTTTTGGGGCGTCATGGGGATCTGCTGGAGGCATCGGGGGTCAGAGCGAAAAACAATAACTGTTATACGAGATCTGGTTATCCATGTCGGGGCCAGTCTTGGGACAGTCTTGGGGTGCCTCCTTGGGGGATTCGGGAGCAGCGTCTGGGAGTTCGGAGGTTGGGGGGTGAGATCGCAAAGGAAAGGAGGATCCCCCACCGGGAAATCGGACTCGGTTTCGTGTTCGTGTCGCGTGTGGGCGAGGCGAGGCTGCGTGGGCGCGCGATAGGACTGATGCCGCCGCAGCTAGGGACCGTTAAGCCGTTTGACCGCCACCCCCCTGGCGGGCGCGCGGGTGCCCAGGGCGCCTCGTCGGTGGCGCGTGGGTGCCCCGTCGGCGGCGCGGGGTGCCCGGTCGGTGGCCCGAGGTGTCCCGACGGTGGCTCAGGGTGTCCCACCGTGGTGTCTCGACGGTAGCTCATGAGATCAATTGTGAGATCGATAGTGAGATCGATCGCGATCGTGGGATCGATCGTGAGATCGAGAGATCGATCGTGAGATCGATAGTGAAGTCGGCTGTGAGATTGGTCGCGGTGTTGCTCACGGAACGCGCCAGCTCTAGGCGTCAAGGCCCAATAGGTTCTGGAGAGGCCCAGACGAGAGCCCCAAAAGGCCTTCGTAACCATTTTGGCTCAAGCCTCTGGTTCCATCCGCGGGGCCGCCGCGCCGGGATTGGACCAACCACGCGCAGCGCGGGGTGGCCTGGGCGAACCACGTGCAGGAGCGAGCAGGAGCTCCTGAAGTTCGAGTGCAGCGACGTCTAGGTCTCATGATCTTCGCTGCTTTTCCCCTAGGTGATGCCGCCTCCGGGGCTGCGTGAATGGGATGAGAGGGGGCGCCGGGCGCAGCGCCGGAAGGCGGAGGCGTGCGCTGCGGCGGTCAAGCCGAGCGGGCATTGTGGCGCGGTGGCGGGCCCTTCGCTGGGCCACTCACGCCGGGCCCGAGGGGGTCGGAGGTGAGCAAGCGCGCCTGGGAGAAGAGCGCGCGGCAGTGGCGCGTGGACTTGAAGGCACTTGCGCCCGATGCCCTGGCGGCAGGAGGCTCTGCGGGCGCCGACGCGTCGGGCGAGCTTCTGCGCATCCCCCGGCCGAGTGGGTCGGCGTGCGTCGACCTGCCAATGTCCAGGGGCGACGTGGCCTTGGTTCCGGTGCTGGACGAGCCGCTCCGCGTGCCGTGGCCCGCCGAGGAGCGGCGATGGAGGGGCCGCAGCACGACCGGGGCCCGAGTGTGCAGAAGAGGCGTGGCAGACGCGGTCGGCGCACCGCGCGGCGGGCGTCGCCGTCAAGCGCAGCGCTGACTACATCAGCGGACCCGCGCGCCCCCAGGCCCAGAACGCCGGACCCAACGGACAGGAAGCTGTCCAAGCGCGCCTGGGGGCGGGGCGCGCAGCAGTGGCGGATGGATCTCAAGGGCGCGGTGGCAAGCCTGCCGACAGCGACCGGGGCCGCGATCGTCATCGTCGACGACGTGCCCGACCTGCAGGACAGAAGCCTGCGCCATCCTCCTCCCTCCTCCTCCTCCTCATCCAGCCAAATCCTTTCCCTCTTCTTCCTCGCCCCCTCGCCTGGCAGCGCGGCCTGCTCGGAGCCAATGCTCCGGGGCGCCCCGGGCGGCGTTCGCAGGTCGCAGCGCCAGGCTCTGCCGTGCGTCAAGCGCGGCCGTCGGTGCGGGCTCCTTGCGACCCCGCCGTCGGGCGACCGGCCGTGGCGCCACGCCGTCGGGGGGCTTACGATTCCGCTTGCCCGGGTGGAAGTGCCGCGCGGCTCTCGGCGCCGCCGCCCGTCGCGCGGCGCGCCTGGCGTGGCTGGGCGCGCTTTTCTAAACGCGCGTTCTGCCGGGCTCTTTGGCCCAAACAATGCCAGATCTGCCGAGTCTTGAGCCGCAAACTTCCGCGCGACCGTGCTTGTGGACTGGGGGCGCGCGATTCATCCTTGTTGAAATCGTCGCCGCCATTGCCACTTGCCTTCCGTCATGGCCCCGCGAAGCTCGTAATGGACGTTGTGGTGGCATTTGTTGGGCCCGCTGGTGTTCCGATGGTGTC